TCTTGGCAACTGGCTGACCCAGAAACTCAGCCTAATGAGATTTGGACAGCAGGCTTCCAAGAAGGAGATCGATTGTGACGTGCTGTGCTTAATGCAGCCAAGCCTGGGGTGGTGCAAAATGAATGGATGCCCGGGATGCCTGCGTTGCAGGGAATTGCTTTTTTGTAAAGAGCCATTGCACATATAACTGGTGTGATAGAAATAAAGCTGAGTGGAAAGGAACATCTACTCTGAAATTGAAGTTAATAGTGACTTCAGAAGTGAGTGTCTCCCAGTATTGCACTGCAATGACAGGGAGCAGACCAGTCTTCTTAAAGACAATTTTGCTCGAAGGTAAATCCAGATGTTCTACCGGGAGGTGTCTATCAAATCTGCCTACTTCTCTCAGTCAGTACTGTCCTAGCTGAGGCCGCACATTACCTGGACCATTGCAGTGGCACCCTAACTTTCACAGACGATGCGGAGGGGTATACATAGTACTCTCCTAACGACCGTAATAGTGACCCCAGCTGGCCTCCCTGCTCTTCCTGGAACATGCGCCATGATGTCCTGCCTCAGACCCTTAGCATGGCTTTTGCATGGCTTTTCATGTCATTTGACTCCTTTGCTCAGGTGTCATCTCAGAGAGAGCGTCTCTGGCCACACTGTCTAATTCAGGATCCCTGTCCCCACTCCCTTACCTTCATTCTTTCTTTGTAGCACATCTTGTGGCATTATAGTAGATATTTGTTTGTCTTGATTATCGGACTCTAAACATCTTGAAAGGTGGGGCTGTACTTTCTTGTCCTCAATACCATGTCTCCAGAGCCTGGGACAGTGCAATGCTCACTCACTATTGTTGTGTGCATTGGTGGATACTCTTGGGTACACTCTATGTGCTCACTGCGCTGCAGTCACAAGGCCTTTTAGCTCCTAGAACAGCCGTGGGCAAACTACGGTCCGCGGGCTGGATCCGGCCTGTTTGAAATGAATAAAACTAAAAAAAAAAAAAGACCGTACCCTTTTATGTAATGATGTTTACTTTGAATTTATATTAGTTCACACAAACACTCCATCCATGCTTTTGTTCCGGCCCTCCGGTCCAGTTTAAGAACCCATTGTGGCCCTCGAGTCAAAAAGTTTGCCCACCCCTGATCTAGACTCTCTCAATGCTCCTTCCTGACCCTGGTGCCTTTGCACGTGCTGTGGGGACAACTTCCTTCTTTATCGTCTGCATCCTCTCAGTGGGCGGCTGGCTCCTTTGTATCTCCGAGTCTCTGCATAGGTTTCCTTCTCAGATGGAACAGCCTCCTAGCCTGTTCTTCTCCAACTGTGTCCCCGATCTCACTCACAGCACCCCCTCATCTTCACTCGTCAGCACCCACAGTCTCTGTTATAAACATCGCCTTGCCCTCCTTTCTCACTGATTTTCTTCCGGCAAAATCCCAAACCTCCTTGCCCCATTTTCTTACTTCTATCTCGGAGTAACTGAACGCACCTAGAAAAGATTGCTGTGGTGCCCACGGACTCGCTTAAACGTGTATCCACAGATCCAGGACACTCACGCTCCTGACAGTTCTGACCTGTTTCTCAATCAATCTCCATTTCCACTTCTTTTTTAAAAAAATATTTCATTCTTTTAAAATTTTTGTTGTTGTTGATTTCAGAGAGGAAGGGAGAGGGAGATAGAAACATCAATGATGAAGAGAGAATCACTGATTTGCTGCCTCCTGCAAACCCCCTACTGGGGATTGAGCCTGCAACCCGGGTGTGTGTCCTGACTAGGAATGAAACTGTGACCTCCTGGTTCATAGATCAATGCTCAATCACTGAGCAACACTGGCTGGATTGTTTCAACTTCTTACTTGCATTCTTTCTCTTCTCAAACTTCTACCTTGAACCCTCCTCCACCAGCCCGTGACCTCATACTTCACCGCGGGAATGGATGGAATCACATGGAAACTGACTCATGGCTCCCTATTTTTATTTCCAGTTTCTCTGTAGGGCTAGTCATGCATTTAGAATTCCTTTCCCTGGGTAGAGTTATTAATCAAAAGATGTGATTCTTCAACAAATGACAAATGCTAGCAAGGATGTGGAGAAAAGGGAACCCTAGTACACTGCTGGTGGGAATGCAACCATTATGGAAAACAGTATGGAGTTTCCTCAAAAAATTAAGTACTTATTTCCATTTTATAAGTAGTATGTGTTAATGCAAAGTGCACAGAAACAAGTAAAAAAGGGTGTGTTCTCCACCCAAATGTAACCTATGTTTACATTTTGCTCTACTGCTTTTTAGATTTTTTCCCCAAGGCCAACTTATTTTTGGTGTTTTTTATTTAGTTAAAATCACATTATGTTCTCAGATAGAATCTAAACATAAAGACATGGCCTATAAGAAAAACAGTAGATACTTACCACTGGTCTATGTATGTGCATTATTTAAGACTGACTATGCTTGAGGGTTTAATTATTTTTTTAAATTATGATAAATGAGACTTAAAAAAAAAAGGTTGCCCACTTTAAAAATCAGACTGAATTGAGGACTTAGAGCTATAGGAAAATCAGATTTTGTCTGATGTTTAATGTACCATTGGAAAGGCTAGGGTTTTCAAATTCAACAATAATGGTGATTTTGGATTCTTTTTTCAGTTACAAGTGGTCTGATTTCTCAACTCCACCCCCTTTGGGGCTTTATAAAGAAGCTGAGGTGCAGAACTTTTTAAAACAAAAAAGACGAGGCTTCTTTTTTATTTTTAATCTTTTAAAAAGTTTATTGATTGATTTTGCGAGAGAAAAACATTGATTTGTTGTTCCACTTATCTATACATTTCTTAGTTGATTCTTGTATGTGCCCTGACCAGGATTGAACCCAAAACTGGTGATTCTGCCTGGTCATAGGTACTCACCGGGGGTGCTCAGGTGCACTCTGCTCCAGCTCGCGTACTGGGCATCCCTGTTCTGCGGGGAACAGTGCCAGCCTTGGTGGAGCGCTGGTGAGATCTCTGTGTCCACCTGCCAGGCTGTCGTTCCCAACGAGTTAATGAAACTCCAATCCAGGTGTTGCTGTGGAAGTGTTTTGTAGATGTGGCTGACACCTCTAATTAGTCGACTTTAAGTGAAGGACATTGCTTTTTATACTGAGTGGGCATCATCCAATCAGCTGAAGGTCTTAAGAGAAAAAACTGAGATTTCCGGCAGAAGGGGAAATTCGGCCTCAAGACTGTAGCATCAACACCTGCCTGAGTTTCCAGCCGGCCAGCCTGCCCTAAAGATTTCATCCCCACAGCTCCTTAAAATAAAGCTTTCTATGTGTATCTCTAGCTCTAGCTTATCTGTAGCTCTCTCCTTGTCTCCATCTCTGTCTCTGACTGGTTCTGTTTCTTTACAGAGCCCTGACTGACACAATGATCCCAATGGTTGGAGATTAGGATGGGGAGGAGTGTTTAGTTAGAGAGGAGTGTTTAGTTAGAGAAAAGCCTCGCCCTCTTCCCATTCCTATCACTGAAGAATCAAATAAGCCAGGTCCCCTTGTACCTTGAGGGAGGCTCTATGATCACCCAGTGCTTTCTCTGAAATACCCATGCTGTGTGTAGGCGGTGTGACTTTGTCAGCGATGACACCATTTTCATCAACCTTAAGCTTGTGTCTTGGAGATGGGGTGGTTGGCCCAAGTCGGCCTTTAAATAACTGAGGAGCTTTCTTTTATCATAGATGCCATTTTAACTCACCTCTCTCCTCAAAAAAGGACCTCAGCTTCTGTTCAAATGATGGCGATATGTATTGATTGTTATGCCTTAAGTTAAAATAAAATGCCTAAGGCAGTGGTTCTCAACCTTCTGGTCCTTTAAATACAGTTCCTCATGTTGTGACCCAACCATAAAATTATTTTCGTTGCTACTTCATAACTGTAATGTTGCTACTGTTATGAATCGTAATGTAAATATCTGATATGCAGGATGGTCTTAGGCGAACCCTGTGAAAGGGTCGTTCGACCGCCAAAGGGGTCGTGACCCACAGGTTGAGAACCGCTGGTCTAAAGCATGCTTCCCTGCTTTTTCTTTTTCAATTAACCTCTCAGCTATCAGAGCTGACCACACCTACTGGGCTGATTCGATCAGATTTAAACAGTTTTGTGCAATGAGTTGGCGCCTTAAACATTTTTTTTTTGATAAAAGGTAAACTAAGTCAAAGTATCCAAATAACCAGAAATTTCCAAATTTGTTTGACTTAGTGAAATATATTAGTAACTCCGTGCACCCCTGTCCCGGGACCAGGGATGGAACCTGCAACTTAGGTACATGCCCTTGACCGGGAATCAATCCTGCGACCCTTTGGTGTACAGGCCAGCACTCTAACCACTGAGTCACACCAGCCAGGGCCAGTGTGCATATTATTACTAGATTGGTGAATTAGAAGAAGTGGCTCTTAACCTATGTGAGAATTGAGCCCAAATTGAACATGCATGGAAAAGTTCAGCTTTGCATAACTGAAATTTCCAGGGTCCTATGCAGTGTTTGGAGATGAGGTGGGAAGAATGTCTCATGTGATTTGGAACTCTTGGGTTAGGTTCATGATAAGAAGCCTTTCATGTGTAAAATATTATATATGTGAAATTATTAGAAAAGGAATTGCACTTGTGTTTCCAAATAATGAAGAATCTGTGTAACATTTTATCAGTGACTTTTAATGAAGTGTTTGTGGTTTGCTGATAAATATTAAGGTGTATTGTGAGAAACTGAAAACTCTTAAAAATAACAGCTCTCTATTCTGCCACTGGCAAAGTAGTAAGTCAAGTGTATTTGCCCTTCTGTCTTTGCTATGGTTAAGAGCCTCATCGGCTCAATTATTTACCTGCATTAAGAAATAGGAATAAAAGTCTAAGAATACACTAATATGGAGAGGTACAATAATTAGTGAATATATATAGACTTTTATTCTCTAAATATACATTTTATACTTTTATTGAAAAATTAATCTTGCCACTGTTTTGTCTCTTCACCCCTACCCCTGCCCCCCAGATCTTATAAGAGAAATACTACAAAAGAAGTTTGAACCCTCAATGGAATATGGGAAGGTAATTTTTATTGATGTATTTGTTATTAAAATAAGTATGAAAAATTTTGACTGGCTTGAAAAGTAAATCTTTAAGCAACTGGTTATATAATCTGAAAAACCTTTTTTGATGAACTTTTGTGGAATATTGGAGCACCTTATAAATCTCATTTAAACTACAGCAAAAATGACAAAAGGAGCATTGAAAGAAACCTTCACCTTTCAAATTGTATGTTATTTAAAAACTAAAATTTCCATAAAGGCAGTAGTAGGCTACTTCCTCAGCTAACGGAGGAGAAGTTCCTTGAGCAATGTGGGGGTTGGGGTGCCAACCCCCATGTAGTCAAAATTTGGGTATAGCTTTTGACTCCCTAAATCCTTAATTACCAATAGCTGTTGAAGAGACTCAAAAAGAGCCTGGAGGTTTTGCTAGAAATAAATGACAAAGATGTATTCATGGGTCTTAGAGTCTGCAGACTGAACACAGCTAGCAAACCCCAGAAGTGTTCCAAAGGAGAGAGCCACGGTCAGAGTTGTTACGGGAGAGTCACGTTCTTGAGACTAACCCTGTGTCCTTGGCCTCTGGGTTGGTCTGAGGTCATGATCTTCTCCATGACCCGGTGGTCTGGATGCTGGATGTCAAGGGGTCTGGATACGCGGACATTCTCTCCTTAGCCCTTCAGGGGGTAGCCAGAGATTTGATGTACAGTCTAACCTCCTTTCTTGTCCCATTGATTTTCAGAGAGAGTGAAAAGGAGGGGACAAGCGGGAGGGAGAGAAAGAGGAGAGACACATCGATTGCCTCC